TGTAATGAGCTGCTGCCTGAGTAAATCAGATGCTAATTACACACAGATTGTGAGGCACAGTGCAAATTTGTCCTGCACTTTCATGGGAATAATACTGACTGTCTGATTTGGCATGTCAGTTCAATGGGTACGTATGATTTGCAGGTGATACAATTCAAAATGACAGCATCATACGCAGCCAGCATCACAAGGGGGTCCCAGGAAATACATTCACATTTGGACTGACAGTGGCCCCGATTCAGTAGTCATTTTGGTAATAGAAGAGAAATGTACCCTCTTTAATTCCAACACCTGTCATGGTCAGTGTTCTCTAGATGCTATTAGAATACAGGGAGGAGTTTCATCAATGTGGCTAATGAAGCAGAAGAGACACGCTGATTTGATGCGAATGCCAACAACAGACTATTCTGTTAGCATTAGGCTTATTTGGCACTGTCAATCATAAGTGTGTTTCCGGGCAACAGTGAGGATCAATATGAGCATGTGCATTGAGTAACCCAGATCTGTATCACATGAAGGGATGGGTCTGATGAGTGTGGATGTGGATTTGTGTGGGTTACAAACAAACAAGGATTTATGAGACACAGGCATCGGAAATCTTCACAATGTGTTTTGCTTCAAAAACTTAGTTCCAAAGATGGTATGGCTTTTAAATATGTTTGGGAAATTGAGTATGCTAAATCCACTGTATGTATAACACTCATTGAGGTTTGGCTTTGATATTCTAATAGACTAAAGTGCAAAGGTTTGTTGGCTGCTGCTCTTGCTACATATGATACACTTAGCAGAACAAGCCTTCAAAATGGAGAATGCTCTCTTTACTCACTCTTTTAATTATCCAAATGATGTGTACAGACGTATTGTAATTATACATTTAAGTCCCAGTGCAGTTAGGACTTGAATTTGCTTGGTGTGGGTCTGGTACTGCTAGTTTAAAAACCTTACTTACAGTCAGCGGTAAAAGTGTGCCAATGAATGATGTTCAATTAGTAAATCCAGTTGTATCCTCTTTGTGGAGCATGGCAGTGAATAAATTACAAGATGAGGGTTTTGAAAAGGAATATTTGTGTTACTAGATGTATTTCTTGAAAAAGGTGGAAGTAGGACAGTCAAACACATGCTGCTATTGTACCACCTGTTTACTTTCCTAGATTTGAACAATATCTGCTGCTGTGACCTGCTCTTAGATTACTCTTGGGCTACGTTGACACTGCAAGCCTTAGTGCTCAGTCCGATGACCTGTATTATTGATGTCAGTCTAGAGTGATCACATGAATTCTGATATGACTATTCATACTGAGGTCACATCGCAAATCTGATTTGGGCCACATAAGAAAGTGGTCTGAATTAGAACTGAAAAGACCGCGGACGGCTGTTCACATTGTCACGAAAAGATCACATCTGAGTCACATAGGAGCTAAAAAATCAAAATCAAAAATGCCTACCATGAAAAGAAGCTCTATAATGTGGTCACAGCTCATCATTATGCCATCAAGCAGATAAAAAGCAGCAGTGCATGTCCTAACAGACAACTAGATCTTATTATTTTTATGGAATTTAACCTTACAACACACAGCAGCAGTCTGCAGCAGTGAAGGAAAAAGTCTGATCTTGTGTCCTACATTTTCATAGTTACAAATAGATCAGTGTTATGAGTCATGCTCTTTCCCTTTGAGAAAGGTGTTCTGCATGTCCCATATTCCTAATTATGTAATCATATCCCTAAACATGCACACATACAGACTTACTGTGCCTCCTGCATCCCTCAAGTGAACCCTCTGGGTTTCACTATGTGGAGCACCAAATGAGATCACATCTCATGTGGAGGGGATGAAGGGTGAGAGTATGACAATCAATTTCAAGGGAGTGTCCCAATACATGCATGTATAGAGATTAGTACAGGAACAGTGGACCAAATCAAAATAAAATGGATAATGTGTACATGCAGTACTTGATTTCAAAGCATGTTAGTCACAACTGACCTGGTAAATTTTATTTTGTGATATTTGCAAATCATTTATGACATTTCTTATGGGAAAAACTTGATTGATGGATACATTCTATTTGACTGGTTTGTAGTATAGATTTTATATTGATTTAAATCCACATCACTGCAGGAGTGTCCAGTTTTGACTGATTCCATTTCAAACAGGAGCGCCTCTGAATGGACTTTAATTTTATTTCTTCCACAAATGCTTTTACAGCTAAAAAGAGAAAAACAATTTGATACCTCAGCTACAAACTTTCTTTTAAGTGAAATCAGGGACATTTGTGTTCAAATAAAATCAAATAAATCACTGACAATTGAAACTTAAAGGATCCATGGTGATTTGCTGGTGCATACACATCTGTTTTCTAGCTGTCTACTTGTGACAGATTATACCCATTTTGATGCAGCTTTGTGTCTATATCCATCTGTTATATCGATCTGTCCAACACAAGCAATGAGACCTCATGTTGTATCTATTTTTCCAGTCTGCCTAATAAGATGAAACCTAGCAGGTGCCTATGGTCATTAGATATACATGATAATGTACCGTTTCACACATGCTTTAGGTATTACAATTTTATGTAGTAATAAGTAGATTAAAAAAAGAGGACGGACCTGATTCTCTGCTAGCACCTCCAGGGAGCGTGGACCGGAATAGACTGGAATGAGTTCAAGTCTCTGTCGGAATTAGAAAGAAGTCTGAATTTGGAGCACAGAGAAAGATAAATTTTCATTGGTGTTTTTATGGAATAATGATGGAAGTCAAGAGAATGTAACTGAGGAGATTTGGGAAAGGCATAAGATGAGAGAGTACTACACGCAGATAGACAATCTTTATTCAGTCAGGACCACTTTTGTCAAAATATCTTATATTCCAAGCTGAATTTTACATTTGGCGGTATGGCTCTGTTCTGGGACCTCCTTGTCCTTCCGCGTGCCTACGTGGAAAACCTTAAGACAGGGAGAGCACACCTCCCTGCCCTTCCATGTGCATACATGGAAAAGTTTAAGACAAGGAGAGCGGCAGCAGAGACCCCCCGGGTACAGAACAGAGCAAGCATCAATGGCAATCAGAAAATGACATTGATTAATTAGAAACATTAAAAGGAGGAGCTGGGGTGGAGGTGGGTGCAAAAGGCTTGGAGAGGAAGCAGCAGAGATAGGCAGGCAGGCTAAAGCAGCTTAAATAAGGCGCCATGTAGATGTTTGCCAATTGGATGCTTGAGGAAATCAGGTGAGCTGTCAGCTGACTGTATGGTATCCAATGGGAAGCTTAGAGGAATCAGCTGATGTATGTTTATGACTAGCTGTGATCGTATGATATAGCTGTAACTGAAAGCTAAGCCTGACTTCGCGCCCTGCCTGAACTAACGCTATGCTCAATTTGTATAATATCACAAACAGCATACTAGGGATGCACCGATCCACATTTTTTCACTTCCGATCCGATACCTGAATTTGGATATCGGCCGATACCGATACTATTCCGATACCAGAGCTTTATTTGCTTTAATATTATTATTATCATTATTGTTGATTTTATATGAGGCTTAAATAAACTCCTCTCAACAGGCAAGTATGATATGTACGTATGTATGCATGTATGTCCCAAAAGGCAACTTGAGGTAAGTATAAGGTCAGAAAAGGAAGTCAGAAAAACAGGAAATCCTGTTAACAGGAAAAATCCCATCCTGAAAACAAATATGCAACTGTAAGGGTTTCAAATTGATTGTCATGTCAATATTTGTTAAATTCCCAAAATGTCAAATATTTGAGTCTTGAAATATAAGAAAAGTGCAATAAGTGTAAACATCTTACACACACACACACACACACACACACACACTATCAATAAAACAGTGTGCATCTGAACAGCACAAATCAAGTACACTGGCTCTTGTAGCATCAACAATTCAAGGTTTTAAAATGTCAATTATCTGAAATATAAGAAAAGTGCAATAACTGTAAACATCTTACGCGCACACACACACACACACACACACACACACACTCTTGGTAATCCCTTTAGCTTTCCCGTTGTCTACCTGGAGTTTTTGGAATGACTCTACAAGTGATTCCTGACAGCTCGCCTAAAAAATATTTGTGCTGTTTCGTGTGGTGCTTTTTTTAAATGTTTGATTGCGTTCGTAATGTTGTACGACGCGAGGGAGCTTCCGCGTCTCTGAATTACGGCTTTGCAAACATTGCATTTTGCTGTCTTGCTCTGCGGTGTTTCCAGTGTAAAGTATTTCCACACAGCGGACATGTTGGCTAGCCACAATGCTGCTCAATGCTATCCTGCTAGCTGGCTGCAAACTGCGGAATGGATTTCCTGAGCGGGGGCGTGTCTCATAACTCTGTGTGTCATTGAGCCGCGCCTCCGTTCAGGAAATCCATTCCACAGTTTGTAGCCAGCTAGCAGACTAGCCGGCAGGAATCACCTGTGGAGTCATTTCAGCAGACAACGTTAAAGCGCAGACATGGCTCATGGATATCGGAAATCTGCGCAGGTTGGATCGGGAAATTCCGATACGGGAATTATGTGGTATCGGTCACGATACAGATACTGGATCGGATCGGCCCCATCCCTACAGCATACCATTAGCGCGTTGTGCCTAATCTATCTTGGCTTGTATGTATGTTCAAGTGCCTGTGAGCACATGCATACTCTTAAATAAGGACATGCATTTGTTTGAGTGTATATGTCTACACATGCACATGCTTGTTCTGAGGGCATGTGTCCATTTTAGTGTGCACGTTTGTGTAATGTGTGTCTAATTACAAGTATGTTTTCCCCAGTTGCTGAGCCGGCAAGAGGACAATGTCTGTTATGATGCAACAGGCAGCTAATCGTCTCCTTATGTAAACGCTTGACTGCTATTCAAATGACATGCAGATGGGATAGAGAGCTTAGGTTTTGGCAGGATAGTGTCATAACAACGAATGTCTGTGGAGACAATGTGCTGTCAGCATTTGGGTGATTAATGCTGCACTTTGTGTTTAAAAAAAGGAATCCTGCTCTCAGAGTGGTGAGGAGAGATTGGTTGCTGCGCATAGGTATCAGCCAAAGCTGGATGACCTCATAGCCTTACAAGGTGGGGAACTCGGGGGGGGGGGGGACTATGGTGACTAAGTGCAGATGCAGTAAGCTTAAAGGGCACCTGTTGAGGCAATTCTGCATGCATATTCTAATGTGATAAGAAAGAACACCAGCTGAAGATAAAAAAAAGTGTGGAACAAGCCCCTAAGAAAATTGAGATTTTGGGATGCTTGCAGGTTCAGTGAATAGAATCATTCTGAAACAATTAAGTACTCATTACTAATTAATAATTTGTCTTCTCCATCATGTATCAAATCTATCACACTATATTGCATTTGCTTTGTTCTTATATTTCTTCTATTTTGTTATTTTCTTCTCTACAGATTCTCTCTCATTCCAAGGGTCCATCCATTTGGGTCATTCACATTTGCCGTCTAAGAAGAGACTATGAAGACAAGCTGTGTCACCCCACATTGCAGCCCAACAAGATATGACATAACATGGGTCCCCTGCTAATCACCATGATGACCATAAAGCTGTGACTGGCAGTGTGAAGCCTTCACCCCTTTTTCAGCACCCAACCTGCACCCTTCTCCTCTTTGGAAATCCTTCCCAGCAACCCAGCAGCAAGCTTCCCTTTCCTTTCTCCTGCAAACACAACCTCTACTTTTCTCTACTTAATAATCCCAGCTTCCCCTCTGCCTCATTTCTTTTAATTGGCATCATGCAGGGTGCTTCTACCGTCTCCACTCTCCTTGTGCTTATTTTTCCCTCCTTCCTATTCTTCTCCCACTTTCCCAATATGGTCAGTGGGGACTGCTGGCTCATTGAGGGAGACAAAGGCTATGTGTGGCTGGCTATCTGCAGTCAGAACCAGCCGCCGTACGAGACTATCCCCCAGCACATTAACAACACGGTGCATGACTTGAGATTGAATGAGAACAAGCTGAAAGCTGTGCTCTTCGGGTCTATGTACCGCTTCACCAACCTGACTGACCTCAACCTCACCAAGAATGAAATCAGCTATATTGAGGATGGAGCCTTTGCTGGACAAGCCAACCTACAGGTGATGGAGAAATGAATGATACAAACTTTGAGTTTAGCACAAGAATATTGTTCACAATGCATTAGACCTTTATTTGATGCAAGCATTTTTTTAACATTGAACTGTATCAGAGGGATCTTTTAATTTTATATTGAAATTGAATAGGGCACTTTATTGTTGTGAAATTTTAGTTGGAAGGTAAAAATAAGTACTCTAAAAGCTCTAGGTATAGATCAGCTTGTATTGAGCATGATCATTTTTACTCAACAACTTGATGAATTAAATCTGTGGCATTGTTTAAACAGAATCCACTGGGCGAGTAACACAGTGTGACAAACACACGTCAAAAAAACGCTGCTTTTACCATATTGCCTGGACCACTTACAGTATAAAAAGATGTAACTGAAAGTGAGAGGACAATCTGTTGTAATTATACTTTGCATAGAAAGAGTCAGTATTATGTAAGTTCACACTAAAAAAGAGGTATCTCAAAGTTCCGTTTACACTGATTAAAATGGACTAGTTCACTTCTTAGTTAACAATTGTCAAGTAGTAACTTCACAGTCCCCAAAAAAGAGCCTTTATCTCTTGCAAGAGTTAATGACACTCACGGATACACTCAGTTCATGTTTACCAAAAACATGAACATGTTCAATGAAAGGCGCTCGTGTGTTCATGCACAGTGCACAACTGAACAATGACAAGTTTTACCAGAAAGTTGGAAAAAAGTTTGGCATACTTGCATTGCTTGCCCTTTAGAACTGAATGATTACAGCATGGTTTTCGATTTGGGGATTATCAACTGTAAAAATTATGACAAAAACTGGGCCCATATTGTGAAAAGAAATAAAAACGCCCTTTTGTTTTTCTCAGGTTCTTCAGCTGGGCTACAACAAGTTGACAAACTTAACTGAGGGTATGATGAGAGGGCTCGGCCGCCTGCAATGCCTCTTCCTGCAGCATAACCTCATTGAGGTTATTGCTAGCAATGCATTCTGGGAGTGCCCCAGTCTCAACAGCATTGACCTGTCATCCAACAAACTTGCTCGCATTGACCCATCCACATTCACAATTCTCAATCGGCTGATGGTGTGTGAACTGGCAGCAAATCCATTCCATTGCGGCTGTGACCTTTATAGCTTCCTAACCTGGTTGGAGTCCTTCAACAATGTCACACACACCTATGACCGCCTCCAGTGTGAGACGCCCCGTGAAATGTTTGGCTTCCCCTTACTTACTGCTGCTGGCCACGCTGGTCGGAATGCAAAAAACATTTTGTATCATCACTGCCGAAATGGAGTGATGATTCCAGGAATGACCTCTCTCCCACCAGATCTGGATGGTCCATCTGGGCTCGGACCAGAGATGTTTGGTGGTGTGGGGCCATACCACCAGCCTACCACCTCTTCCTCATCTACTGAACACAGCTTCATTCCCAGCATCAAGCTCCACCATGTCGCTTTGTCATCAGCCTCTCTCCTTGTGCAGATTCCAAGGCCCTACAGCAAAATGTATATTCTAACACAATATAACCACACATACGTGTCTGACGTCATGAATTTGAAGAACAAGAAGGAGATGATTACCCTCAATAAGCTCAAACCACACACCAATTACACCTTCTGTGTTGCATCCATCCGCAACTCTCAACGTTACAACCACACCTGTGTCCAGTTTTCCACTCGGGCTCAAAATCTAGATGACATGCCCCCTACACCTTCCACCACAACTCACTATATAATGACTATTGTGGGCTGCCTTTTTGGCATGCTCATTGTTTTAGGCTTTGTCTACTATTGTCTACGTAAGAAACGGATGCATGATGAGAAGAAAAAGTCCATATGTGTCAAGAAAACTATTCTGGAAATGCGCTATGGACCAGAGGTGGCAGCAGCAGTGGCTAATGATCCATCGGCAGTCCACAAGCTACAAGAGCAGTCCAGAGAACATCACCAGTATCAGCATCACCATGGAGGCAAACTTCCCATGTCCGCATCATCCAGCTCGGGAATGCTCCACTCAGCCAACACTACTTCCTCCAGACTTTCCTCTATCCCACAAGTAGAAAAGATGGCCACTGCCTTTTCAGAGGCTTTGGCCACAAGTAAAGGAAATTATATGGATGTCAGAACTGGAGGGACAGGAATGGAGAGGGTGGGAGATGGTGGGCATGGAGGGATGAGGGGGGCAGACTTGAGGGATGATGATGGAACTGATGTTGGGGATGACTCAGATGATGATGGACACGGCTCTGCATCAGAGATTTCCACCATTGCCATGGAGGTGGACAAGGTTAACCAGATCATTAACAACTGCATTGATGCACTGAAATTGGATGCAGCAGCTGTTGCTGCTTCAGGGGCATCTACAAACCCTACAGCCTCCTCCAATCCCACCTCCCCTCCCCCCACCAGCACGTCTTCCCTTACTCGTGGCCTAATCCCACTCTCACAAGGGTTGACAGAGACATGCCATGCTCCCAACAAAATACCCCCTCCACCTCCACTCCCTGCTTTAAATGCCCCTCTTTCTGAGCGCCCAGGGATCAGTGGTGGTGGCTTTGTGGTCAGTCCCCCCTACAGGCCCCCTCCACCAGCCACTGCTGTACGTCCCATTCAGCGACAAATGAGTGCAGATGCTGCTGTGGTTATTGTAAATGCCGTCAAAAAACAGTGCAGCACCACCTCTTGTGGCTCCATGGGTCGGGACAGGGAACGTGGAGGAGCTAGGGTGTATAGCCTGGATGTTCCTGAGCCGAGGAGCCCAGATGCCTGTAATCAACAACAGCAGCAGTACCCTGACCGGGCAAGTCCTGTGGGCTGTGGGGAGCCCCTTGAGAGGCTGCCTTTAGTGGGGAGTGGGAGCTGCGGTGGAGGGGGTGGTGGTGGTTGCGACAGTGGTGGTGTTGGTGTCCAACATCAGGACAGCCAGAAGCCACACCATTATCATCAACAGCAACAAATACAACAACAACAACAGCAGCAGCTGGAGGTGCAGCAGGACTACCACTGCTCGGAGCACCGCCACTCCGTCCCAGCTCTTTACTATGAAGGCTCCCACCAGGGCTCCCCAGCCCAGAGAGTTTCCTTCCTAAAGCCCCTGACGCGCTCCCGCAGGGATGCAGCATCTTATTCCCAGCTTTCGCCTGCCCGCCACCATTCCAGTTATTCTGGTTACTCCTCCAGCCCAGAGTACTCCTCAGAGAGCTCACTGCGGATCTGGGAGCGCTTTCGTCCCTATCGAAAAGGCCAGCGGGATGAGGCTTGTTATGTGACGGCCGGAAATGCCCTTCGAAAAAAGGTGCAGTTTGCTAAAGGCGAGGACCTGCATGACATCCTTGATTATTGGAAGGGTGTGTCAGCACAGCAGAAACTGTGACTGGTGGACCAGACATAATCATAGGGGAAAGAGTTTGGATACCGCTTTTCCTGATAGGCCTGTGGGCCAGAGAAAAATGGGAAGAAACACATAGGACAAAATTTTGCCTTTGGGTTATTTTTGGCATGTTAGGTGTATAAAATATTAGAGCAAGGACTATGAAACTGTGCCTGGGATATGAGAGTCATTATGGTGTTTTGTTTTAAACTTCATTGTAGCACCATTTCTGGATCATTCTTATTTTTTGTTTGTTGGTTATAGCACAGTGAGCAAATGCCAACTGTGTAATTTAGTACTCTTTGAGTGATCACGTTTTGTGATCATATGGACTGTCTTTATTAGTGCCATGTTTCGATCTATGGTAATCACCGAAGGTAATTGTTGATGTCCTTAATTTTAAGCTTGTGTGATCCAAGACCAATTTTTTATTTGGTGCTGTATCAATTTGCAGTGTGCACTTCGATATGTTTAGACTTCTAAGTGAAGGGAGACCATGACGGGGTGACAACATGCCAATTAGCAAACAGAGTTGTCAAATGTAGACCGTATCTCTCTTTCATGAGATCATTGATGCAGCTGAGGTATTTGTATTTGAATAGCATCTGTTACAGAGAAAGAAAGGATACATTGGAAAGAAATTAATAAAAAAATAACATTTAGTTGCAGCATAAATAAATCATGAGAGAGAGATTTAAAAGTGGAAACTTAGCCTGCTCTAATGGCACCGTGATATGTAGACACCTCTTTCCAGCTAACAATCTTACATGATTCAATGAGTGGTGTAAAGAATATTGTCCCACAAGACCCAAACTGTCCTAAACAGCATTTCCCCAAGTAATGATCAGAATTGTAAGCGTAATGGGGAGAAATAATGCTCCCATTTGAAGGCAATCAGATGCTACTTACCTGTACAGTGGGGAAATTTAGCGAATAGACAGGTGAGCTCACACTTTCCCCGTACAATAAGAAAGGAAAGATGTGATCCATATGTGACACAGACCAAGAGAAATTGAAAGCAAGATGGGGTATAAAAGAAAAAAGGGAAGACAAGCAAAGATATAAATAATTTTCTGCAGCCACTGTGAATGTAAGTAGATTACAAGCAGGTTAAGGGGAATTCTATCTGCATCATTCAATGTGAGCACCACAGTACATTCCAAATCCTTTCTCTAACATGAAAACTGAATGAGGCACAGAGGGAAAGGACACTTACAATTACTGCCAATGTGTCTGTTCTGTTCTGGAAATGAATACTATTGTTGTCTATTGATAATTTAATTAGCCAACTTGTGACAGGCATGTTCGCTTGCACTTTACGCCTCATGACTGTGTGTGTGGCTGTGTGGTATACTACAGTGGTCAGTGTAAATGGGTGTTGGCATGCCTTGTCAGATTATATTGTATATGCCCAAATTGACTTAAATTAATTGTCAATATCTTTCCCATTGGCTGGATGTCTGAGTTTAAACAATACTAGATTATTAATGGCATGGACAAATGTACAAATATCAACCATGTTCATTGTATTTTCCCAGACTTACATCACATTGACTGTGATGCTCAGATATACCACAGTAGCGCAGTGCCTCTTGCAAACACAGCCATAATCTAATTTCCATTTATGTATAGTACTATCTGTCCACCTGGCCTCTTCTACTAAAATTATATGATTATTATTTTCCAAAATAATGTCACAGCCTGACATTCTGACAAATGGCATTCTTCTTACCCACAGTGCTGTATAGCTGTTGACATTTTGCATCATCAGCAAACATACACATTCTAGATATCCTACCCTAAAAATGTGAAAACTTAATCAGTGGTCCTTGCTCCACATTTTTTGTTCAGGGCTATATTCAAGAGAAAAAGAAGTTAGAGAAGCCCAAGTTTAATTTCAAGAACATTTTTATCTCTCTTTTGATCCTCACTTGTTTACTGTGGATGATGTTATTTGGCCGAACCTCTCACCACCTCCCCTGTTCCCAAAGGTCCAATGAGATATGGGTTTGGCATGAGCAGAGTACTAAACATGACTTGTTCTGTTTTATTAAAAGAGAAAAGTGAGAAATTGCCTTTATTGCAGTCAGGGCTTGGGTCAGCACAGCACATATCGACACTGATTTCCATGGTTTTTTGAGCAGTTGATTTTTAGCATACACTTGACTCCTCTGAATAAGGTTGAACAGGAATGAGTATACAAAGCAAGATGGTGGTGTGTAATGGTACCCCAATATTGATCTATGTTTTTCTTTCTCCCTCTTTGTTATCATAAAACATCTATCTCTGTCTTATTTTTCTTGTTTTATTAAGATGTGTAACAATCCAGGTCAGAGGTCATAAACATTGAAGTCAGTGTTCTGCCATGAGTGTCTACAATTGAATGGACCACATAAGATCAAGATCTTCATCTCAGTCATACGGTGTCTGAGATGCATCACCTCATCCGCCTTCTTTATATGATAAAGCAGCATGTGATGAACATACAGTCTTGGAAATTGTTCCCTGTTGATCTCCTGTTATCTGAGATAAGAAGGTTTCCAAAGGAACTTGTTACTGTGATTGACTCAGACTTCCACCAAATCAGAGGAAAGGATTTTTTTGCTGGTACCATCAAGAGTACCAAATTCCACAGAGGGAACTTGGTGTGCTTAAGTCCCCAGATCCTCAACTGCCATAACATGTTTACAGAAATGGACATTGAGGATAACAGCAAATTCAGAAATGTTCAGTAATATCAGGATTGCTCATCATTTCAGCTGCCATCTATGTTCATCTACCTGATAATGTATAATGTGACAGAAAATCCTGATTATTACTGTTTTCATGGATGACATTTAATTTCATATATTTTGTATTTTAAATAACATTTAACACACTAATGTATTTTTCAGGAAATAGATTTTCAGGGGACAGATGTACATTCAGATCAAGTGCTCTTCTGCTCAAATTTCATTCAAAGGTTTGTTTGAATGAATATCTATGATGATACTGGATTACTGGCCCAACAGAGAACATTTTTAATGCTGGTGTGAGAAGTACCAATCTTTCTACTGATTTGGTGTTTTCACCATTCAAACGAGTGCTTGCCGTAGGTGCAGGGGCTATTCTGTTTCTCATAATGAATAATTACTTGAAAGCCTGCTGTCAAAGTACTGACAAGAGAGTTTTGCAAAATGGAAATGAAGACAAGTTTACACTGTCTTTAAGTCAGTGTTTCAATTAATTTCCAAATAGCTTTAAAAACAACCCATATTGAAAAAGAGGCAGAGAAACCTTTTTTTATAGTGGTCATTTCTGCACTCCCAAATAAACCCTTGCTGTTTATTATTACTTGCTCCCCATAAGCGTAGCAACGATTGGTGGTTAAGATCAAACCATTGGGTCAATTGGACTTGGAACTTAAAGATAACTAATACAGTACACTTTTATGTGGTGGTTATTGTAAAATCAGTTTATTGTCACTCCACAGGATTGAAGCTTTCACTAAAACAGAGAACAGTCTTGGGTAGTAGCCAGTTCAAGCTGAAATACTAAAAACCACAACTTTTTCTCAAAAAAATAAGCACTGTCATCATACCTGTTTTTTGTCCCACAAAGCTAGCATCAAACAAAAAAGCCCTTCTCTTCCTTCTCAGCTCATATCCTTGTTGAACCCCTGGAGGATGGCTCACCCGGAGATCAATGGTCCTTTTTGTTGCACCGTCCTTGTTGTTTGTCTCAGAGCAACAGGAAAGCCAGACGTGAGAAAGCCATCTAATGTGCTATTAATGTTTAATCCTTTTGTGGGAGGCTGGCTCGGGTTGCTTCCCCTATCTCTGTATACCCCAGAAAATCATAGGAGCTTTCAGTTTCTAACATATTAATCCTTTGATGCTCTCTTATATTTAAAGTCTGGCCCAATTAAACTAAACTGTAGTTTCTTGAATGATGAATCAGAGACCAAAATTGGATGTGGGTTTATATCTAATCAGTTTCAAAATGACTAAAGAAGTTAAATGCTTCCATTAGTAAAGACCACAGTAAAAAAGGTTTCAGCCTTCCCTGACCCATATTGCACTTTTTAACCATGTGATCTGTCCTTGAAGCACCCTCAGTCAAAGTTAGAAATTGCTTTAATGAGCCATCATTATCATTTGAAGGTAATCTAAGGATGCAGTACTAATACCAATGGCTAATACACAAAAATGAGCTTGATCGTTTACTGGACAATTTTTTTTACAATATATAGGAAAAATGTTCACAGATTTGTGGATATAAGACATCTTTGTACGTGTAAAACAATGCTCTTTAACAGTGTCACTGCAGCCAATGTATTTACATACATACAGTATATCCACTGGATATTATGAGCTATATATAATATAATAATATATATTCACTGATGCCACCGGTCCTATCATACAGTGTATTACAATGCACATTATTCCTATTGCTACATTATAGTAACAAAAAGCAAAATGGACCGGTAAATCAAGACCTAGAGTGATGCAACATGAGAATGATATGTACAAAAAGCGATTTGTAAAGAATTGAATAATTTTGCGTAATTAAAAGAAATTAATCATAACCTGGAAAAAATACACATTTTTCAAGTTGACAGTTTTCTCCCACTACTCCCTTCCCCTACCCAACATACACATACACACACACACACTCTCACACACACACACACACACACACAGCAAGAGTAGTGGGCAGAAATGGAACATAAAGTGAGTCAGACTGAGTCACAGTCTGACTGACAGGCAGGTAATGGGCAAGGTCTTCAAAGAGAAAACAGCAATAAAAGAAAAATTTTGGCTGAACGCAGGCAGACGTCTGGGATTGAAGATGTGGAAGCATGGCTACACTAAACCTTATGATGCATGTATTGGCGCACTGCTTCAAATGAACCACAACTCACACACATAACAGAGGCATATTGTGGGAACAGTTCTTACAAAACATTCAGAAACTTCAGCATTTCTCACATTTGTAATCAGCCCTCCTTTTAAAGCCTTAAGGAGGGCAGCTTCATTTCCACTTAATTTTAAGGCAGGTGACAGGCAGGTATTAGCACTGACAGTGGGATACAAATCCTTTCATTTGGAATCTTTATACCTTTTGTCTAATAGTCTATTAAGTCCATTAGCTTACGGTGTGGGAGATTAGCTTGTGTGGATAATGTGCCAAATTTGACAAATAGGCAACTATACTGTGTGTCTCCTGATAATAGCCAGAGAAGGGCTTATGTGATGAAAATTAAATGCATGCCATTTTTTATGTTGCTTTAATGTGAATTTGTATTTATCTAAAGAATGAAAAAGGAAGTCAGTTGAGACAAATGAAATATGTCTCGCCGTGACTGATTTCTTGGTCAGTCTTCACACTTTATGAGGCAGCTCAGGCAGGCTGAGCGCTGCCAACACTGCCTTTTCAACTGCCAAGCACTCTTAAAAAATAGTTTTAAAAAATCTCAAAATTAATTGTCTTGTATGTTTATGCTGAAAGCATTCACTGACAACTAAAAGTCTTCATCAGAATGTAGCAAACTACAAATGTTTATCTGTAATATGTTTTTACATCTCTAATTGAAAAACCATGCTGGTAAAACCATGCCTGTGAGCTATTCTAAGCTAAAAAATACACATGTAGTCTGCACAGGGGTGGATTTTGAATTTCATTATCTTTTTTGAGCTGGATAGGCATTTAAGGTTGAGAAACCTCTGGTACTTCAAAATAATGAGTTTTCCGAGCAGAAGAGCATTTGAAAATCATGTAAGTAAGCCAAATTGGGCAATGGTTTGCCACCTGATTGGAGCCTGTTTTTCATCTTTTTACGTACACACACACACACACACACAAAAATAGGAAAAAAAATGTTTATTTACACTGACACAATATGCATTAACTCTGCAAGGTTTAGTTTCCAAAGATGGACAAAGGACTTAAAGAATCTGTGAAATATCTGTGAATTTTGTACACTATATAAAAAAAAATGCTAAGGTTAAAAAATGCTTCTATGGATGTTTTATACTCAGCCTGATCTCTTGATATGTCTGTGTGTTTCTCTATTTTCAGTTGGCTGTTTGTTTATTTTGTTTTGGGGTGGGGTGGGGGTGGGGAGGTTATTTGGAACCAAGGGACTGACTTTTAGTACTTGCAATGATATATGTTATAAAAGGTTTAAGAACAGAGAAAGCTTAACATAGTGTACTACATAAAAGAAAAGTTGTTATATTTGCATGATTCCCTGTATTTTCTGAGAGACAAAAATATATTGTTGTGTACAATGAGTGGACGTACATTGAAATCAAAAGCTGTAGGGGCTGAAATACAGTATTGTCAAGTACCTTTGATTTGAACATTTAGGTTTTAGCCGTTTTTTTATTCTCTGTGACGTTTTATATTTACATTCTTACATATTAGTTTTCATTTGGGTGATTGTATTGTATACTGACACTGCAGTTACCATTGCTTCTCTTCTAGCCACAGGCTGGTAGAGTGTGCAGAGGGGGTACAAATGTCTGAGGCTGGTGGGTGTTTACATTCATCAGTTATGAGAAACGGCACTCAATTCCTCTCCATTACAAAGATTATTCTCCATGGCAGACATGCAACGCTATCTTCTTTGGCTTGAGGCGGGGCCCTGTCACAGATTGTGGTTGTATTTTCTCTTAACTCAGCCTTCTCTTTTATGGAAAAGATGCCACGCAAGTTTTTCTGGTTAAAGACATAACACATGAGAATACGTGTTCAAAGACGAGTGTGCTGAAGTGACACAATCACACACACCGTGAAATGTCTAATGGTCTTAACCCAATCCCAATCCACAGGCAAATCAATGCAGCATCAGCAGCTTCTCCCTCAGCCTCAGCCCACTCGCTGTTAGCTAAATCAGTGAATGTCATTCCCCATCTTCTGCTCTCAGAGACTGCTGGTTTTCTATCCAACTAGTTAAATGAATTCACCTTATATCCAGCCAACTGTAAATCAGCCTTTTATCATCGGTCTTCTATTACACACTTCTTCATTATACAGTCTTTTTATGTGCACAGAAAGGAATGGATAGTTGCGCCTCTGTAGAAGTTAAAACTATGTTACCTCTAAAATTGCGCTCCTCATAATTTCTAATTCACAGCATTCAAAAACATCTGATATTCATTTGTTTTTAGATAAATGAAATTCAAATGAATAAGTATGACCACAGAGATAAACAAATTAAGTATAATTGGTTCCACTGGACGGAGTAGAGCCTTAAAAGGAGGCAGAGGCTTGAGTACATTTCATTTGGTACATATCCAATAATGTGTTAGTAACACCTACTGGAGCTCTGCTGATACATTAGTTATAGCATTAGGATCCATGCAATGACAGCAGACCATAAGTCATAGCCATGTTACATTCTGCAGTGATAATACAAGACTCTCCAACTGTGATATATAGCCAATTTTGTGGCGCCACCTGCGCCAAAACATTAAGAGGCCTCCCTGTGTCAATTACAAAGAGAAAGTAAAATGCATAAACCTCTAGGCTAAATCTGCTTCTTAGCTTGTCAACATGGACATGCTGTATTATATTATTAGCCAGTTTATAGAGTTATATATTAATTGGGTAAAATTATACTATAATCTGATCTCTTATCTCAGATGCAGAGCAGTGAAACTTGATAAAAGGTCCCATTGCAGTGAGAGCAGATGCATTTCAGTGTCTGAAGCCCATGATTCTGATCAATGTTAATGTTTTCTGTGCTCACACATAGCAGAGTCTGGGCATCCATTGCTATTCCAAACACACAAGCCAGTGCTTGTGGTACTCCCAAAGCCAGAATGATTGGCCTTGTCAGTGCCAGACACTAAAAACTCAGCGGCTTCCAAAACTGGCTGTCAATTCAGAGAGAAGAGGCAGGGAAGAGGGCCATCCCTGACTCATTGAGGAAATTAAATGTCAGAGGATTGATCTATTCAAAAGCTAATACTGTCTTGGCCTTGCAGCCACAAGTATTCAAGGTTCATGTACACATAATGTAGAAGATCTACTATCAAATAGACATGATGCAGAACTTTGCACTTAAATCAAACTATTATTCAGTGAGGATTAGGGATATCAAAACCTGCTCCTTCAGTGAATTTGCGATTTTAGCTCTAATCCCTTGAAGCTTAGATACAACTTTCCATAACTTTTTGGTATGTCACTGGACAATGTGATTTGATACCAAAACCACACCTAGGAAAAGTACAATGCAGATTTTTGATATACAATGTATTTCAGCAGTTGAACCACTGCATTTCTTTTGCGAGAGATTTAGTTTAGTGATATATTCATTTTCCCTTTTCATTCTATTTTTCCCACTCACAAGGAATTGAGAGGAGAGGCATTTCACTGAGTTGCAGGTTATGCCAGCTGAGAATAAATATAAATAGTATGAATCGCCCCTTTGAAAAATAACAGTATTTCTGTTATCCTGCCCAGTACAACACAACCATGTAATGTACTGCATGAAATGTACTGATGTGCTAAAGTATAACCACCATCTGTGTGAGCCCTAAGGCCAGTGGCCAAAGCAAATTCTCACATCAATATCATGTGATTTTAGTTCTTATTCGGCTATGTATGTAACGTGTCAAAATACGGCTCTTGCCAGGTTGACAGTATTGAGAGATTGTTCTGTCTTTAAAGGCAAGAGCTAAAAGGGCCATCACTGTATCAAATTAAAGGTCCCATGGTCATATTCTATTCAAATCTAATGTGACTCTCCCCTCTGGTTTCAGCTCTACACTTATTGTTACTGTTTAGAGACCAAAAGGGAAAGACAAAACAAAGGTTTGGATGATGGGAAAATTTCTTGGCTTTTTTTCTTTCTGTAATTATTTGTTGCTGATATTGACATTTTTTCCCTTTGCGATTTCTGTACAAAAGATCTATTTCTATATTTGCAATAAATTTATAATTAAAAATGAAATATGTGTACAAGGTCTCTTTGATTGACTGGGATAGATTTGTTTTTTTGGATTCATAATTAAAAGTTGGTCAATATGTGCTTACATATAGCACTGCACTATGACTGGAAATGCGTGTGCGTGGTGGTGCGTACTCCTATACACTGTATGTGCTACTCTATACTTTGGCTGGGTGTAAATAAATGATTCATGCACTGATGGTTGCAAAAAACCTGTCTATGGTGAGATACTGAGGGATTTCCCTTACGACACACACACACACACACACACACACACACACACACACACACACACACATACACGTACACCCCTGGCCACTTGTTCTCTCTATTAAAACCTCTCAGTGTGTTGAGGGCCCTGGTACAGAGTCACAGATGGGTACTCAAAGAGAGGAAAAAAGCAAATCTTGATGACTCACGAAAACGACAAACACGTCCACCTCAGTCACGGTTCCATAGGGAGGCAGATGTTTGAGTCTAGTGTGAGCAACCGCTTTGCTGAACACACAAATTTAATGAGAAGAACAACAGAACAAAAAGGGAGTTTTCTGAACCTGAAGGCAGAGAGGGCCAGGGAACTGGGCTTTGCTGGTAGCATTCAAAGTGCTGGTTGGACACCTTTTAACAACAGAGGAATTGTTGGTATTTACTCTCTGTATTAGATGTACAAAAAGGTAGGAAAGAAAATGTTTTTTGGAAACAAAGACAGTCTATTTGAACTGTTGTATTTGAAAAGGACACACATAATGTTCAACCATACATTTAACTAATCAACTAGTCAACCATACCACATAGATAACTTATGTAACTTAAAACTTTTAATAACAACCGCAACTTTTGGTTGCGAGATCAGATCAATTGGCGGTCTGACTTTTGGATGAATTTTTGACATGAAATTTTGCTCTAGCAACAGTTAAATCACCCAAACTCTGTGCTTTTTTTTTCACTGCACCAGCACAAAGTCTCAGAGTGCCATGCCGATATATGGATATATGGAGGCTGGTCTAGCAAACAAACTTCTACCGGCCTCACAGTTTTCAAACAAAATTTTGTTGTCAATTGTCAATAGCCAGAAGGGTCTGTAGGGATTATTTTCTGTTATACACATACAGGCCGTGGCTTGATGATCAGACCTTACAGGGGAACACATAAATCATGAGCATTATATTTATATCACAAATGTATTACTTATACATACAACAATAATATATCTAAAAAAAAAGACCTGTGGTGATATGATCATGGCCTGCTGCAACATGGCTGATTGTGGCAGCAGCTCCACCAAACTCCACAACAAAGGATGGAGAGCAGGCTGGAAGGGTAGGGAATAGTGGTTCAGTCTTGGGGGCACCAGTAACATGATAACTGTTAAACTGTTATACTGTCATTTTTGTTGAGAGGTTTGTCATGAGAGGGTTAGAGAGTGTATTTATTTGACCTTGTCCCTTTTATGTGAAACCATGTGTGAAAAATAACAGTAGCAAGCAGCTGTAACTCTAGTTATATGATTAGAGGTGGAACCTTTCAATCACACTTTCATTCCACTACAGTCTATGAAGACTTTAATAGGGGCAGCCCCTCTTTGATTTAGTGGATATGGACCATTGAGGCACATCCTCCCGCTGCCCACGCAAAACTGTCTTTGGACACTCTGAAATCTTTCACCTGAATGCTGTAAAATATGCATGACTGCATATTTTTGAGTGCATGACACCATTGTTTTGCTTTGTCCTTTTTTATGAAATTAAAGCATTTCGCTCATCTTTCTCATCATCTCTTCTAGTTTTTTCATCATTTACACTTCCTCTTCCTCTCTCTGACCCTGTTCTTCCCACCACCAATGTCCTCCTCTTTCATTGTTGCCTTTTCACTGTCAGCTCCCCGCTGAGAGTTGTGTAAGCCAAACTCAGCAGCTATAGAAATATCCCATATTTCTAAATATCCATAACTCCGAACCATCCATGTTAAGCTCTTTATCGCCTGAGGATTAAAGGGTTGGATTAACCCTTGAATATCCGTTTTGCATTTTAAACTATAGTTAATCCTGCCTGCTATCAGCATGTGCCTTTTCACGCCCATATCTCTCATTGTGTTACTGCATTGTCTGTGTGTTTGTTTTTGTACATGTAAAAAAGAGACAGACAAAGACAAAGAAAATAAAAGACATGAAAAAAACAGATGATCAAAGTACCATGCAGAAAAAAGAAGAACAGAGCTGACCTGCAAAGTTCTGTGGGAACTCCGCAGCTTTTATTGACCAGAGAATGAGAGACTTACTGTAATCTCCCTTTGACCTCGTGTCTTTCACACGTCTACACACACGTACACACACACACACACACACACACACACACACACACACACACACACACACACACACAGCTGGAAGAAGTGACAGAAGCCCTCTGGATGCAGGGGCTAACTGTGCACAAGAATATGAGCATCAAAATGGTATGAATTAAAAGTTATCAAAGTTAAGAGGATAAACAGGAACGTGTTTGTTTTAGTACATGCATGAGTATATGAGATGTGTCAGAGTGTGATTAAAAAAGGTTCCCTCAGCCTTTATCTTGAGTCCTGTGATATTCGTCTTTATTTAGTTTGTTTTAATTTGGCTATTAAACCCCCTGAGCTTTAATCAGCACATGTTGTATTGTGGTGAGAGCTGACGAGAAGAGAATCAATTAAGTTATTAATTAAAATTAAGTATTTCACTTTATTAACTATTGGTCTTGTAACTCAACTGTACTATATACAGAGCAATTTACAACAACAATTGAATGGCAACATCTCTTCTTCATCTTTCCAACAGTGCTGCTGTTGCTCTACCCACGTCTACAGAAGACAATGTCAGCAGTTTTCATTGGAACTTCTTTCTAAATAGTCCATATGAAAACTATCTCTGTGGAAACCACACCCATGTCCAACCCCCAAAAACCCAGTTTAACCAATGATACAAGGCACAAGTTTAGTCAGGACTAAAATATTTAAAATGTTACCGTAAGAAGCCAGCTTTCACTTCAATCTAAATATATATTTTGGGGGAATTTCTGCTGACAGGACAGAGAGAGACAGGAAAGGCAGGAGAGAAAGAGGGGATGACACGCAGCAAAGGGCCTGCCAGACTCGAACCCCTTGACATGGTACACGCTCTACCCAGTGAGCTACCGAGAAACCCCATTTCACTCCAATCTTGAGAGAAAAATAATTTTCAATGTTTAGCTAAAAGTACAGAAAACCTTCACCCAAACATTTGTAAATGTTTAACAATTGTGAATTATACATCTGTGTGTGAAGACTAAAGGTCAAGAGTCACACAGAAGAAAGAAAGCTAAAGCACTTTTGGGCAGCCTTCCCCCAAATAACAGAGGCGACTGTGAGCTGCATACCTCATGGATTTTCAAAAAGCCAAAAGATTGATCAGAAAATTACTTCAAAAGGCATGTACAGCAAACTGTGTGCTCTGAAACTAAATAGCTGCAGGGATTTCAGTCAGACAGTTCAAGGCTGAAATTTGTTCTTATAGGAGGAACTAAGTCATGGCTTGAATTACATCTCACAGCTAAATCAGTTAATTTGGTAATAATAATTGAATGAATATCTTATATCATCACAAATAGCAAATCAATACATACTGGATGCAAAATTTGTGACTTGCTCACAAACTATACTTTATACCAATTTACTCTTTAGTTTCGTGATTTTCTGTGGAAAGCAAGATTTTACTGTTTGAGTCCAGAGTTAGAGTGGTCATACAGTGCATCATATTTATGAATCTTTATGTTAATGATGTTTGCACTCAAGACCGACTGTAATGGAAGAGTCAATATAGGAAGATGACTGCCTACAACCATGGCTCTAAGAGCTAAAACCTGTTCTTCCTTCTGCAAATACCTACGGCCTTTGAATGTTTTATGCATAGCACATGTAAGCAAGGCATGAGGTGTATGCACAAAAATAAGCAACAACAAAAAACAAAAAAGCCAGAAGGGGGAAAAAAATCATCTTTCAAAAAACAATGCATTAATAATTAATTGTATCCCTTGCTCTTTTCCTGGGGACTTCTCTGTATTTTGAGTCTAAAATGGTTCCTTCTGAAAGTTGGGGAGATGGAAGTTTGGGAAGAATGTGTAAGATAAATTGCAACTTTGCAACATACAAATTTTGCTCTCAGTACTTTCTTCAAAGTGAGAAGTGACCCTTCAAAGTCAGAGGGGTAACAGCTATTTCCTTTCCTTTATTTTTTTCACAAAATGCTGAAGTTAAATTGGTTGTGTAATTTGAACCAAAGTCGTATCTCAAAGGAAACTGGCACATTTAAGTTTAAGGTATTTACTGTCTTTCTGTCATTGGGTGACGATGAGAAATTGTTGTAATTTACAGTGCCTTCCACTTGGGGACACCTGCAAAGGCTCTGAGATGACAGCTAAGAGACAAACATGTGAAGGGTCCGTTCTGCCAGGCTTACTGACTATGTGAGCAACCGTGGACTGATGAGAGGTGCTCTCACAGATGTAACAACATCACCACATAATAAATCAAACGATAGACCACAGAGCTGTGTATTGGCAAGAATCTGGCAATTCGATACATATCACATTACAGGGGTTATGATTCAATATATTACAATATATTAGGACAATGTAAGCAAGGGGATATATTTTTTTTAATCTAGATTCAGGAAAACTGTCATAATAAAAAGAACACACTACCATTACAAAACAAACTTGAGTTTAAACTAAGTTTAACATTTCTTTTTTACCACAGTCCCTAAAACATCCAACAATATAGCCCTCAGTTTACATTTACAACACTGCTATGTAGAGTTTGGGGATTTAAAAACAAAAATGGAAGCAGTTTTTTTAAGAATTGATACAATATCATAAAACAAAATATTGCGACATGATATTTTTTTATATTTTGTAACACCTGATACACCATGTTTTGAGCATGATGACATAGTGTCGGCCTGTAGGATAATGTAAACAACCGTTCCCTGATGA